ATGGATGGAAGTGAAGTTGTGTCCATACCAGGGATGCATGATATATTGATGCTGGCATCAGTACCGGCTGTTATTCATCATTTTTTATACATTAATGTTTTTGAGTCCTTTATAAATGATGCACTAGAGGCAAGCGTCTGTCTATAACTATAAATATCAGTGTATTGTGGTGCTCTTGTGTTCTCAACAATAGGAAAGCATTCAATAAATACATGTTTGAGCTCATTTTTGGAAAATAAACCCCCTTTTGAAAGTTTTCAGGGTGAGTAGCCACTATGCTTGGAGCGTCCTCACCAAGTTTTATCACAAAGTTACACTCTTGTCTAAATTCCATGTGTTCTGCTGATCAGGAAGCATTTTGATGTTTGATTGATAAAAGTTCTGACTGTCTCACCTGGATGTTGATGGACATCCTGAACCACAACATAAATCAGGCTAAAGTGGCTCTTAAATGGCATACACGACTTTAAGAAAAGAACCAGGACTTTTTTTTTTTCCATGCACAGGTCTAATCCTGGCTTGTAGAAATGCCCGGTACCATCCAACTACTACAGCAGGTGGACTGTAGAGCTGGAGAATTCAGACCATTCTGGTTCTGGTCCATAATGGTACCAAGTGTGACCCAGCTTAACAAGTTCTGAATCAGCCTCCACGGGCTGAATTTTTCCAACTTGAAATTTCCCAGTAGTAAAAACATTCAGACCCAGACTGAGCTATCCCAGATCCCCAGCCCACCACTACCGTGCTTTATATGGAGTGTTTGTTTTCTAAACATGGTTCTGTCCAATACAGTCATCCACATCAAGGCTAGTTTCATCTATCCAGACGGTTCTGACCCAGAAGAGGCTCTAGAACCCTGCAGCCATATTGTTTTTAACAGATCTTGGATTATGCTCCTCAGGGTCCAGTGACCTGAACCTTTTCACACGTGTTTCTCCTTCAGCTCACCTGAGTCAAATGACCCGGTTCTTAGCAGGTTTCTATAGAACCTGTAGCAGACTGAGGAGGAAATGCGGGTTTTTGTTTCAGGTGTGGAAGCAGAGACACATCTGAAAGCTTCAGGACATAGACTGGTCCTGGGTTTGACCTCTCCGGACACAAACCTCCCTCTGCCTGCCTGTCCGTACCGTCCGGTTGTGAGCCGCCTACCTCTCGGTCCCAGGCCTGTTTGAGGTGGACCCCAGCCACCGTGCTCAGAGTCAAAACCACAGAAACCGTCAGAACCACTTTGGAGGCTGTAGACATCCCGTTAGGTTACACGGCTGCGGTTAGCATAAAGCTAACTGTGATGCTACCTCTTCTTCCTCTGTCTTCTTCTACTGTTTTTATTGGCGCATGGCAACCAACTTTAGGGTGCATTTACCGCCACCTACCAGACTGGAGTGAGGTCATCAATGATGTCAGAGGGAAATTATTATCTACATCTATCAATCAATATCCATACAAACTCACATATAAATTAGTATGTTTGTATATGTACATTCATACACACACTTATATTCTTACTTTAAATGCGATTAAATAATCCAGTATCGTTTTAAAATCAAATAAACTGATTTCAAGCATAATTTGATTTACTTCCTAAAAGGTTTATCATTGAAAATATAATTAAGTTAATAATATCTGATTTTAAGGCCTGTTTAGCTAATATATTTTCTTCTTTCCTAATAGCGGTTAGCTAATAGCTAAATGGTGTTTTACTGCCCCCCACTGGAGAGGATTTGAAATCCTCAGATATCAAACCGAAAAAAAATAAATGAATAAAAATTCCACATAACTTTTACTTTTCGAGTCTTTCTGAAATAAATGTTTAATTTTAATTAACATAAAAATATTTTAAAGTAACCTATTATTTTTTATCCTGATATCCTTTGTAATACCATAATACATGACGCCCAATCATATTAACTTTTCCAGTCATTTCCTTATTATAAATGTACCATTAAGTCCAATAAGCTCCAGTCAGAATCAAAACATTGTCTCTTCCCTTCTATTTCCTTATGTTCTCATTGTCTCTACAAATTTCCTTTAGATTTTAATCTTTAATTTTATTTCTGTTATTCTATATGTTATTAATTATCCTATAATTTTATTTTTTTATTTGTTTTGCTCTTCTTAGCTTGGCCACATCTACTTTTTCATTACCTGTAAACCCATCGTGCTGGAACCTATATAAAATAAACTACAGTCATATTGACTCCATATTTGTTTAAATAGCTTTTTTCCCCTCATATAAATAAATTGAGAAAATGAGCTCTAAATCTGACATAAGGCATTAGTTTAGCCTCAAAACACAAATGAAAATGATCAAAACATGGAGTAAAAAAAGCAAAGCTGGTGTGCGCGGGGGTCTGCCCATCCTGTAGAGTCGATCAATGCAATCAATCAGTTCCTGTCAGTAGGACTTCTGCTCCTCTCCTCATCAGCAAACTGCTCCAGGTCTCTCAGGTCTGAAGGCTGCCAATTCCAGTCTGTTTCAGCTCCTTCCAAAGATGGTCAATAGGATTTAGGTCAGGGCTCCTAGAGGCCACTTTAGAACAGTAATGTTTTCCTCTCAGATGTTCTTGGCTGTTTCTAGCTGTGGTTTTTAGGTCATTATGCTGTTGAACACTCAGGACATCCAAATGGAACAAACTGCAGCACATCTCTCTCTAGAATCCCTGATAGTCTGGAGATTTCATTGGACCCTGCAGAGATTCAGACGCACTGTGCCAGATGAAGCAAAGCAGCCCTGAGCATAACAGAGCCTCCTCCATGTTTAATAGTAGGAAACATTTTATTTTCTTGATGTGTTTCAGTTTCCTGCCTGTACACATAAAGCTGGTGTTAAAAGGTCAGTTTTTGACTAATCTTTCCATAGGATATTATCCCAGAAGCTTTGTGGATTATTTTCCTATCAATGTTGTTCCTTGAGCTTGAAGTTCACCATTAATCCATTATCCGTCTCTTTGATTTGTTGTCAGTTTTCCTCCTGCAGCCACAGCCAGGGATGTTGGCTACAGTCCATGGATCTTTAATTCTTAAAATGTGCAGCTGTTGGCACAGGATCATTAAGCTGCTTGGAGATGCTCTAATGCAGGCATCCCTAACCTCGGTCCTCGCTGTCCTGCAGGTTTTAGAGGTTTCCTTGCTCCAGCACAGTTGATTTTAATTGAAAGCTCATTAACAGGCTTTTAGTCTACTGCAATCATTATAATCAGCTGTGCTAAAGCAGGGAAACCTCTAAAACCTGCAGGACAGCGGCCCTCGAGGACCGAGGTTGGGGATGGCTGCTCTAAACTTTAATAGTCAGTACATTTTTTTTAAAATAAATGTATTTATCCTTTTTGATAGAAGTACAGAACAAATGCAAAAAAAGGACAAGAATTCCGCTGTAGGTACCAGATCTGATGGGGGCCCCGCCCCTTCTTATGACGTCAACATATGGCAAGTCCATTCGGACAAACTGTATTCACCCTGTATTGGAGTTTCAACATATAATTTCCTATATTTGCTTTTACTTTACATTTCATTGGCGATCTAAAGTAGCCAAAAGTAGAAAACAATCATTGTCAGTCTTGAAGGAAAGTCCTGCCTTCTAAGACAGACTGAGCTCTGCCATTTAACAAGGTGACACAAAAGTCTCTGTTTATTTTTACTTTTTATTAATACCCGAGGGCAGGGAAGGAAAAATGGAACATCCTAAAAATGACGTTAATAGAGATTTAAGACAAAGAAAACAACAGTTTTACGGTTTTTCATACAAATTCAAAAGTAGTGTATACCATGCCCTTGCAGTTACTTTGTTCACCAAAAAGATTTCTTTTCAGTTTTGTTATCGATCAGGTAAAACTTAATCGGTCAGTAGACACGCTAACGGATGCTGCATGATGTTATCGTTGCCTGGGCAACCACTATGTTTGAAATCATTTGGCATAACGTCACTGGCATGAGCAGGACCAGAACAGATCTGACCACCCGAGCAGATCTGGTACCTATATCGCCCCTTTCTCTTCTCCAAGTTAAAACACAGCACCCTCTGCTGGTGGAGAAGGTTATCTGCATGGCTCACCATGTGGTAAATCGGCAGTAGACACTTCATGATGCTAGAGCTGTTTGGAGCTTCAACATGTTCCCCTTCCAAAGCTGGGATCAACTTCCAGCATCACTGGGTCGCTGTGAAAAACAGCTGGTAGCTCAGCACCTTCAGATCCTATTTACTCCCCTGAAGAATCTCTTATGGCCGAATGCTTTGGAGGCCAGAGATAAAATAGTGGAAACTAAAATAATGTTAAAAAAAGTTATCTTCCTCTCTTCTTCCTGTTAAAAGGGAGTTTTTCCTCTCCACTGTTGCTACAAGCATGCTTAGTGTGAGGGATTGCCTTGGAGTCAATGAGTCGATGCAATCAACTGGTTTTCCTTTAATAGAAAACTTTGAATCAATTTGCCTGGATGATCTGGTAAACTGTAAGGTGCCTAGAAATGAATTTTCACTATACAAATAAACTTCAGTTAAGTTCTTCAGAAAGCCCGGATAATCCTCCTGGTTCTGATCTATGCTGAACTATCTGGCCCATATGAACAGATAATGTTTTAAGTACATTTGACCAATAAAAACAAAAGGACTGAAATAATAACAGGGGTCTAGAAATGAAAATAATTAAAATCTGATCTTTTTTCCTTCCACTGTCTTTATATTTCTGTTTGTTTCTAAGTTCCTCTTGGTCTCCTTGGGGTGGACTGGTTTTGTCTTTCACTGCTGAGTCACTAACAGGACATTTAGTAAGTTCATCCCTTCTGTCCAATCAGAGCTCAGCGTTCAGAGAGACACGCCCAGTCTCACTCCTTCCCAGATTTCAACTCTGAAAAGTTCTGGTTCTGTTAAGCCTGTCTGATGCTCTTTAAGTGGAATACTGTTCAGCCACAGAAAAAGAGGGGATCGCCATGGCAACTATAGCTCATGGAGGGGTGCAGTATCAATCAGGTAGTTCGGACCCACAGACGGAAGGGTCAGGGGGGGGGTGGGAGCCAGCTTCTTTATTGATGATTGAACATAAATAGGACAAAAGTTTCACTGTACATCCGGAGAACCGGTAAAAATAAATAGTCACAGCAATAAATAACGCCTGACAGGAAGCGGAGCAGTCCCATGGCTATTTACACAGTTCATCATCATCATCACCATCATCATCTTACGGTTTCATTTCCTTGCAGCTCTCAGCTGAGTTTAGCTTCACATTTCAGTCGCTTCGGCAACGTGTTAAAAAAACAAACAAACAAAAAAACCCAAACGAATAAGAAAATCAAAAAGTGTCGGATTTAAAAACCTTCCAGTCGTCACAGCTTCGTTAACACGATTCGGTATCAAATACTTCAGTCAGCAGGATACAAAAATATCACACAGACTTTTAACCGCGTCTCCAGGTTCAGCTCAGCTGCTCAGAACCCGGTCCGGGTCAGACCCGTCCCTCGGGTCGGTTTGCGTCCGATCATCTCCAACAGAGACGTTCAGGTTTAAAACCTTTCGATGCAACACGCCGGAACCAGAAGGTCCTGAGCTGAACGAGGAAACCTTAAATTTTTTATCCAGATCCGCTGCAAAAAGAAAAAACCCTCCAGAGGGTTCTGGTTCCTGTGTGTACAATCAGGGCCGAGGTCACGCAACAAGACGGACACAAACACTGCGGGTTCTCCAGCGTGCAGAGGGCCGGATCGGACCTGCTGCAGCTTTCATAGTCCAGCTCGGTGTCCCACACACACACACACACACACACACACAGCTAAACAAAACAAATGTAAACATGAACTCAGGAGAAACAAACACCAAAAACAGCTTCCCTGTTACCAGGCAACTGACAGCGGTGCCGTCGGCTCATCTCACACCAAACTCAGGGAAACAACATGGGCATCATTGTCTGCATGGACTGATTCTGGGTTCGACCCGGAAAGGAAAACCCGGGAACGGACCAGACTCAGTTCTGACCCGGGTTTAGCTTTCACCAGCAGCACCAGTTGGTCAAAAACTGATTCAGAAAGATCCAGTGTCGAAGGTTTGATTCTGTTAAAGCATCAGAAAAAGATACTGGACCACAGGGAAGCGGGTGGACAACACCGATCGGGTCCGCTTTGAACAGAATCTTTTAGGACCTAAGGTGACATCTCTCCTAAGCTGAAATGGATCAACAGAAAAAAAACTTCTCATGTTGGAGGAGTAACGTCCAGCAGGGGGCAGCTAGAGCTGCACTGCAACATACGGCTGCTGCCATCTGGTGGTCAGATCGGCACATGTCACCTGTCCGACCAGTCACTGATCCATGAATGAGACGGTGCTGAAACATACGAGGCAAATTCTGGAGAAAAAACAAACACACACATACACACACACACACACATCTCACTATAAACGGACTGAAAATTATTTCCCTGGAGAGCCCAGACAGCTTCAGGCTTCCCGACGGACCAGACAAGGTTCGATCCCCTGTTTCCAGACATCCGAGTTCTCTGCTGCTGCTGGAAGAGTCTTAGGAGGAGTCGGAGGGCTAAGCTACAAAGACACCAGCGTCCCTTATCCACAACTTAGGGTGGTCCAGGAGAAACTAATCGGTGAGGGGAAGGATCCACGGCTCAGGAACAGAGACCCATTGGGCAGCTGGATGGACGAGCTGCCGACATCCAGATGAAATCAGGGTGGCGAATTTGTCCCTGTGATGAACGATATGGCCTCTAGGCGGCGATATCACTTCTAACAACATGCAGCGAGAAGCTCGGGCAGGTCAACAGAAAAACGAGCTAAAACTTCCAGGAAGTGCAGAACAAAGATCAGTTTCTGAAACTGAAGGAAGGAGAGACGGTTCTGCGGGAAAGAGGCTTCTACGGCTACGCGAGCGGACGATCTGAGGCCGGCGGTCGTCCTGGGGTGTTGGCAGGACGATGGCGAGGAAACAAAAGGGTTGAGTCCTGACAACCTTCAGGGATCAAGACACGTGTGCGAACAGACGGGAGCCAGCCAGGCACAAGTTAAACCCACCCTCACCCGGAATACAAACAACAGTTTTGGCTTTGTGGGTATGTACAGTGACTTCCTACGGAGGGCTGGATGGTGGCGATCCGGCGCCGGCGTCCAAAGTCAGGGTCGAGTCTTCAGGCCGAGAGGGGGCGGGGCTAACCTAGCCACACTACTGTTTGAGTGCGGACGGTAAACCTCCAGTTAGCTTTAGTTGTAGCTGTGACGGGGCTAGCTCCGCCCCTCCCTCTAGCTCCGCCTCCAGCTACTGATGGACCTCGTTGGCGATCAGACTGTCCTCCCCCGACTGGAAATCCGCCTCATTGATGCTGCTCCCTCCGTTGAGCATTTCCTCGTCCTGAGACGAGCCTCGGTCCTCCTCGCTGCTGGCGCCGCCCGGCTCATCCGAGTTTGGATCCTGGAGCACCTGGGCGATGTACATCTGCTGCTGTGGCGCCTGCTGCTGCTGGAGACGCAGAAAAACAGACGGATCAATGCAGAAACTCTAACAGCAGAACAGGACGGTGCGAAACCTAAAACATTTTGAACAGCTACAACCAAACTTAGCTCCATTATTGCTGCAAAGGAATGGAAGTTTAAAAAAGAATGCAATCAAGAAATAAAAATTTGAATCTAAAAATGTAAGAATATCAAAAAAAAGTTTTGTAAACGGAATTGTAAATTTGGTCATAGTTCATTTTTTTCATCTGTCTGAGCATCCCTTCCTTCCTCCATTTTCCAGATCATATTCCCTTCACTTCTGGGGGCGGGCTTTCCTCTGGACAGAGGAGCATTTCTATTGGTCTGCTGGACGTTAGCAACATTTCTAGTAATAATAGTGTGTTTGAATTGGGCTTGAAGTGAGGAGAATTTTTTTTATGAATGAAATTCATAAAAAAAAAAAGAGAAATTAAATAAAAAAATGTATGAAAAAATAAGAAATTAGTCAATAATTTGATAAGAAGAGAGTATACTACGAGATGCTCTCAAAACCTTATTTTGGTTTTCAAACTTACATTTCAGGATTGCATTTTTTATTTTATTTTCTGTAGAACAAAATTCTTTCTATAATCGGCCACCATCAGACGCTGGCTCTCAGACTTTCCTGGGGGTCCAGTTGACTCACCTGAGACTTGGTGGTCGGAGAGGACGAAGAGCGAGCGGGTCGTCCGTTCTTCACGGCATCCACGTCGCTCTCCTTCGTGTCGATCTGAAACGGAAACGCTGGCGGTGAGACGAACCAACCAACCAATCGGCAGCAGCCAGTCGCAACCCCAGAACCTCACCTTGTAATTGTGGGCGCTCAGGTACTTGAAGTGTCCGAAGCAGACGTGGGAAAGGCAGACCACGATGGTGACGACCAGAACCACCAGAGTGAACATGGAGGTGGGGGTTTCGAAGCCTGGTGGCGTTGAGTTCAGTTATATTACCGTCATGAACCCAATCCTCAACACAACATCACCTCTGCATAGGTGAGATGCTGCTTACCTGTGCGCACAGTGGAGAAGAAGAGCAGCCAGAAAAGGCAGAGGATGGGTGCGGCCACCACCTGGGTCACTGCGGCAGAGTGGATCTTCTTGTCCAGCTTGGAGGGCAGGTAGGCGTAGTACATGTTGTACCTGTCCACCAGGTGTTTCAGCAGCATGTACATAAGACCTGGAGGAAGAACACAGTTGAGTTAACTCGCTCGGGCCGCTACCCTCCGACACCAGTGCTGTGCTGAGTACCTACCGAAGGGGACGATGATAGGGCAGGTGATGCTGTAGGCCATCACCACCGTGAAGACGTTCATCATCCAGGCGTAAGCAGCTCCGAACTGGAACTCGTAGGCTTGATGCTGAAACAGCACAGAGTAGTTAGAAGAAAGCTGCATATTTCCAAGAACAAGAGTTCGACAGTGTCTCACCCTCTTCACATTGCGGCGGTCTGCGGCGGAGCGAGCCAGACAGAGGCGGATCATGTACATGAGCAGACCGGGAATCCTCAGCAGGTCCATGGCGTTCCCGATGAAGGCCGAGGCGATGACATAGTTGACAAAGAAAGCTCCGTTATCCGGTAGGAAGACGCACCTCAAGAGAAAACAATTTCTTATTGGCTGATCAGAAAGATGAAACAACAATATGGTTTTGATCCGTCTTCCTCTTTCTAGCATACGTTTGTGTTCTGGGGCAAAGGTGGTGAGCAGGTTTGTAAAACAAGACAGTTTATATATCCCCCAATACAACGACTGCTGCCAACTCCCCCGTGAAAAACTCTCATTGTCATCAAAATGAGGCAAATGTTCTGTAAAGTAGGGGTATTTGTTTCAGTTTAAAATGATATTTGATTGTCTTTTGATGAATTTACAATGCAGTCTACCCATTCTTTACACCAAAATGCTTAAACATGACTAAATGGGCTTTTAATTGAGCTTTTCTGTGTTCGTTAGCTCCCACCTCTATATAGCCCGCTAATAGCTCCGTTGTTTGAAAAAATAAAATACAAATCGTCTCTTTTCTCCGTAATCAATTGTTTTTTTTTAAGCTAAGTAAACTAAGTAAGCTTGTTAGCTAGATTCACCATCCTGTCAGTCAGTTTTTTTTCAACGTATGGCACGAATACAGTTTACTATGGAAGGCCGTTTCCGCCACTCTGTAAAAAAATAAAAAAATAAAATTATCTCATTATATTGAGTTGCTAACTCACTATCTTGAGTTGCTAACTCACTATCTTGAGTTGCTAACTCACTATCTTGAGTTGCTAACTCACTATCTTGAGTTGCTACCTCACTATCTTGAGTTGCTACCTCACTATCTTGAGTTGCTACCTCACTATCTTGAGTTGCTACCTCACTATATT